GTGCGAGATGGGCGCGAGCGAAACCGAGTCCGCCGAGGACTAGGGCTCGCAGGTGGTGCGCGCAAGGGCGGCGGCTAGGGATTTGAGGCGGCCGAACTTGGAGTGCAAGGCAAGGGATTTTGGAGATCAAGACCTTCTAGTTATTTAGAATTCTAGTAGATATTTACTTTCCTTGTTGCTTTAATAAATCTAGTAATATTAGGATTTTAATAGTAGAAGATGTTAGGAGATTTAGTTGCCTTAGGATTTATATTCTTGCATGATTTAGGAGTTCTAGTTGGAGTTGGCTTAGATTTATTTTGCACCTATAAATACCCATGTACTCTCATCATTATGGAGAAGTCGAGTGGTTCATAGAAAAGGAACGTTTCGTTCATTTGTGTGTTTAAGCAAGGCCGTCAGTGCGTGTTTATCATACAACTGTGTCTAACAGAAGACCTTGAGAGCGTCTTTAGTCACACCCTATTGTGTTTAGTCGAAGGCCCTTAGTGCGCGATTATTCACAACCGAGGCAAGAAACACGATCCCTCATCATTGGTGCTTTCATTGAGATTGTCCAATCGTGTTTCTAGCTTATTTATCTTTTTCTTTTTCGGATTTTCCCTTCTTCTTAGGGTCGAATTTTTCTTTTTTTTTTGGTTCGAATTCTTCATTCTTTTTCTTCTATTTTTCGAGAGATGAGAGAATAATAAAAAATATATATTTTTATTTGAGAGTCTTAAAAAAAAAAAATCATGTTGTCAAACCGTGAGAGGATCGAGTCATTGGAGGAGAGCTTGAAGACCATAGGTGATGGCCAACACACAACGAATGAGAACTTGGCAAGGATCGAGCTCATGGTGCACGACCTTGCCGGGCAGCTCACGCGCATCACTCACTGGCTGAGGAGAAGCCATGGGGAGCAGTCCACCACGGCGTCAAGCAGCTCCGACACCGAGCACGAGGATGACGACCGACGATCACGGTGGACGCGCGCATCGTGCGCAACACACCACCGCGACAAATGGCACCACCACGAAGAGCGGGCTTACTCATGACCGAAGCTCACCATGCCCATGTTCAAGGGAGTCGATCTGGATGCGTGGCTTAGTCGGGCCATGCAATTTTTTGAGATCAACGACGTGCCAATGTATGAGCGAGTTCAAATTGCTGCCTATCATCTTGATGGAGAAGCAAATGTTTGGTGGCTGTGGATTTTGCAAAAGAACAAAGGTGAGCATATGCGTTGGAGAGATTTAGAAAGAGAGCTCATCACGAGGTTGGTTCTAGCGATTACTTTGATTATGATGAAGCTTTATCGAGGATACGTCAAGTGGGTAGTCTACGTGATTATCAAAACGAGTTTGAGCGAATTACTAGTAGGGTGCGAGATTGGCCCGAGCGTGCGCTAGTGGGCGCATTTGTTGGAGGATTGAAAGCCGAGTTGGCAGCGGAAGTGAGTTTGGATAGGCTGAGGTCAACACACTCGGCTATGGAGTCAGCACGGTTGCATGAGGATCACCTCGCGGCAGTCCGCAAGGCGAAGCCGAGTGACGCGCGTGCAGACACAAAGCGCGCGAACGCCGCAGCCGAGGAGGCGCCCCCACGGGCCAAGATCAATCCGGCAATCAGCGAAGGGACGCGCACAACGAGCAACATGCGGCGATTGACCGAGGAAGAAATCCAACGGCGAAGAGAGAAAGGCCTATGATTCACTTGCAATGAGAAGTTTACGCTGGGCCATAGATGTAAAAGTAAGGAAGTATTTTTGCTGGTGTTTGAAGAGGAGCATAATCAAGAGGAGTGCGGACTACGGGAGAAAACCTTGCTCCACGTGATCAAAAGCAAGAAAAGAGGCCCGAAGATGATCAGGTTTACGACGTAAATCAAAGATAGGTTGGTTGAGGTGCTAGTGGACAGTGGGTCAACCTTAAATTTCATAGATGAAGAGCTGTCCAAGAAGATGAAGTTGGTGCTTACTAAAGTCAAGATGTTTGGGGTCAAGGTGGCCAATGGGGAGGAACTTCGAGGTAACTTACTATTCAAGAAGGTTCTAATCATGGCACAGGACCAAGAGTTAGAGATTGACCTCTATGCCTTACCGCTTAAGGCTACTGATGTGGTGTTGGGAGTGCAGTGGCTCGAGACACTTGGGCCCATCACAACCGACTACAAGCGAGGTACTATGGAGTTTGGGCATTCTAAGAAAAGAATCAAGCTGCGAACGGAGGACCAAGGAGATTTGCCTGTTGAGGAGGACGATGAGGATGTTGACGTGCTCAATTTAATTATCCTTGAGGACAAGGAACTACTCAAAGAGGATGAGAATGATGTGGAAGTGGTTATTGACCCTAGTGAGCCCAAGGAATAGACTTTTGAGGACCTCGAGAGTTGGCTCGAGAAAGGCCAGAAGAGCCGCAAATCAAGGAGTATTGGCCAACGTTAGGCGGGACTGGCCAAGGGGTTGTGGGAAGAAAGCACGACCATGCACGAAGAAGCGCAAGGCTAGACGAGCCAAGAAGGGACACACGATTAGTACACACGACGAGCCGGAGTGGGCTG